ACAACTTTAAAGGTGGAAAAGACAACAAATCTCAAAAGGGTGGTGGTGGTGGTGGAAATAAGGAGCCGCCAAAGGGGAATGCGCAACAGTTTCTTCAGATGATGCAGAATCTCAAAGGGTCGAAGGATAATTTCAAGATGCCTAATATTCCAAATCCCAAGGATCAAAAATCTGTGAAGTTCAATCTGCCTGAGGATGAATTTGATGATGAATCTGACGACTTCGATGATGAATCTGATGATTATGATGATGAATCTGATGAAGAATTTGGTGCCCCTCCACCTTCTAAAATGATGGGGGGTGGATCTCATGGGCTTAATGCTATGATGATGAAAGGTGGGCCTATGGGTAATAATGGTGGAAATGGCAAGAAAGGTGGAGTTGAAATCCCAGTACAAATGAAGGGTATGGCTGGAAATCATCATGGTGGCGGCAAAAACAATAATAATGGAGGAGGAAAACAGGGGAAAGGAGGGAACCAGAATCAGAATGTTGGTAAAAATGGTGGTAAAGGTAACAATAATGGAAGTTTTGGTGGTGCAGCAGTACCTCAGAAAGGAGGAGGGGGAGGGAAGATGGATGGAGGTCTAATGATGAACAGTCTGCAACAAGGAGGGCCACATGGTATGATGAGTATGGGTCAAAAAAGTGGAGGAGGTCCAATGACCATGGGCCCAATGGGTCATATGTCGGCAGCTCAAGGACTACCCGCCGGTGGTCCTGGCGGTTACCCGGGGATGGGTCAAGGAGGCAACAACCCTTATAGCCAACAACAACAACAGTATATGGCACAAATGATGATGAACCAACAGCGGCCTGCCGGATATGACATGTACGGAGCCCATCCAAACATGTACGGTGCCCATCCGATGATGTACGCCCGGCAACATCCATCCGTGAGTTACGGGCCACCGCCACCTATGGGTGCTCCGGTGCATGATAATTTTACTCATATGTTCAGCGATGAGAATACAGGCAGCTGTAGTATTATGTAAATTGTTCTTTTTTTTTTTTGATATAAAACGTGTGTACTTTGTCTTGGTCTTTAGCTTATTATGAACTAATGAGAGACGACGCTTTTGTCTTCAGAAAAGCAAATTGTAAGAATTTTGCTTTTGCTGTTACTACTACTATTTAACAATTTTGTTCATCTAGTGGCTTTAATTTAAGATCCTAATCGAAGGTTTTATGAAATTGACTATGTTCAATTTTATTTGGTCCCAAAAACAGTTTTGGAAGTAATAAAATTAAGTCATATTTCAGTCTTGGAAATTGGAAAGCAATATTATTGTTTGATTTAAACAGTGGCTGAACTTGAAGCTTAGGCAATGGAATCTGCTTTTTGGTGAAGTTTCACTATGTTGGTACAGTAGCTAAGAAGTTTTGGTTAAATCTTCTCGTAGAAAATGAAAAAAAAAAAACCACATGAAGGATGAAAAAACAATTCCAATTTTCCTAATATATATTTTTTTTAAAGTAGCTAGTGGTAAGATATTTTTATAGTTAGTAGTGGTAGTGTTGACTAATTGGATAAATATCACATTAATATTTATGGGGCAGGAGGGTGAATATATAATAGATCTGGGGCAAAAAGCTTTAATTACATTCATGTGCACTTATATAAAATTATATTGGTGTCATAATTCTTGAGTTAGGTCAAAACTAATTAATCAAATTTACGACATATAGTACATAAGTTTTGACCAAACACGTGAGTTCTGGAATCCTGTGTTATGAATATTTAAAAAAGGAAGATTTGTATATATTTACTCTGTGAAAATCAGAATTCATTAATCCAAGAAGTAATGTCTAGGTCTTTGTAGTAATAAATTACAGAAAGGAAAATTGCAATTTGGTTGTTAAAAAATTGAAAATTCTGCTTTGTCTTTGTGATAATTAATGAAAACACATGCTATCTTTGTTATTATATTTATGAGAAAAGACATTGAAGTTGTTTCGAATCTTCGTAAAGACATTTTAACTTTGTTACTGTATTGTTAACTTTGTGACTGTATTGTTACTCCATTAAATAATTTTGAACAGATATTATTATAATGTTTTTTCAATCAGCCTCAAATTTAAGAATCAAGTGAGTTCACACCTCAATCATTACATGACACATATTAATTTAATTAAAAATATAAAAAGGTTCATTTTAAATTTTTTCTTTATCTTTTTCTTTCTTTATTTCTATCTCTTACTTTTTGAATTTTAATTTTAATATATCTTAAATTTATTTCATCATCCATGTCCCAGTTTCAAGTGATTCATCCCTTCTTTTTATTTTTCTTCAGCTCCCACCCCCATGTCAAAACTGAAACCAACTTCCATTTTTTTTCTTTTCTCTTTCTTCTTCTTCTCCGGTCAAATTCTTTATAAAATTCATACTATTATTTAACTTTTATTGAATTATTGATAACAAAATTAATTATTTTTTGAAGAAAATTTAAAATTTTAAAGGTATAATTAACTACTCGTTTTCATATAAATTCAAAATTAGAAATGATAATTTTAAAAGAATCAATTAATTTCTCAAAAATTGAAAGAACTAAATTGAAATCGAATAAAAAAACTATATGATACTTTCTAGTTATCTTAAAATCTAATGAGTTAATCAAATTGTTCGAAATGTAAGAAAATATTTAGATAAAATTTTCAAACTAAACAGAGTAAAACTAATAGTAATAAAAAAGGAAGGTGAAGTTGTGGTAAAAATACTAACATTGAAAGTAAGAAGCTTCAATGAATGGAGATCACAATGAATTTTTGAAAAGAAATAAGAAAGAAAGAGAACAAATATAAAGGAAAAAGAGTTAAAATAATAAGAAAATATATTTTATAATAAAATACTTGTAAAAATAAAATTATATTAGTTATTTTAATCTGCTCAATCTCTTTGAGAGAGTGCACACCACTCTCTATGTCAGATGGACGAAAAATGATGTAAGTATATCTTTTCAAAATTGTTTAGCGGGATAATAAGATGATTACAAACTTTAGGTGTCTTTTTAAAAATTTCGAATAATTTTAATGATGACTTTATGTCTTTTCTCTATATTAATCAATATCTGCCGTTTTGATTAGTGAAATATTTAATTGTTTAGTTACTCTCTCCGTTTAATATTACTTGATCATCTTACTAATATAAAAAAATTTTATATTAACTTTGCAATTAATATTCTTTTTAAAACTGTTCACATTTATTTGTAAAATTTTAAAGAATTTTTTTTAACAAAGGAATTAGTAAAATTATTTTTTATTTATAATTTTTCAATATCTCATGTAAAATGAAAATCATCAACTAAAATGGGACGTATTACAAATGTGCTCTTCTAAATTTCAACAAATGGAGGAATTAAAGGTTGTTTGTGTCTGTGTTGGGTAATGGGTTCATTTCATTGTTATTGGGCTTAAAATGCGCTTTAAATTACATAAGCCTATTACCATACTTTTCTCTATCCATTATTTTTGTGTTTTTTTGGGGAAAATTGTATATAATAGCAAATTAATAATCTAAAATAAATGGAGTAGCTAGGGTTTGATTTAATTGTGCTCCATAGCGAACGTTAACTAAAGTTTGTCAGGCGTATCTCTCCCAAGAATCTCGCTCGCTACTCTCCATACTCGCTCGCCTCTCTCGCTTTATACACATACTTATAATGAAAAAAAATATTCATCGTTTAATGCAAAATTCCAAATTGAAATTTAAAGAATGCTAAAAATACTTACAATCAATATTTAATAATATTAGTGATGTAATTGTGATAAACTGAAATTCTATATCGTTATATTCAAAAAAGTTATGCGAGTGTTGTTCATGAATTGTTATGTTGAGAATTCTCAAAGAACCTGAAAACCATTTAAGCTATTAGAAATACAAAAATAACGTTTTGCAAATACTATCACACAAAAAGAAATAAAAAACACATTGAAAAAATTAGATATATGTCACCTAGGTAAAACATGAACAAATGCCATGAATTTATACTTGACCATTCTAAATATAAGAGGCAAGCTAAAATTCAAATTATTGATTTAAAGCAAAATTTTAGTAAGTAGTTCAAATTTATACAATAAAATTTGTATATGATTTTGTTTGAATGTATTTATAAAGGTGATATTTGATCCACCCTGCTCTCATCTCTATCGTTTGTATATAAAAAAACTTATATATCCTAATATATTCGAAAAATTCAAAGTTAATGTAATATTTTAAAATAATTAGTATTTCAACACATTTCGGAGCTACATATCGTTCCTTCCAATTATAACAAATCAAAACACTAATAGATAGGAAATTCTAGTTTTGGATGCTAATGAACTTTTTTTCCCTAGCAATCATAATGCTACTGTTGATCTTCAAATTGAAACTGATTCTATCGAAACCATGGAGAATATACACATCTAACTTGCAATTCTACTATTTTTTCCTGCAAGTCAACTTTGAAGAAGTCGGGGAATTAAGTGATCCGCCATAACTTCCATCCAGGGAACAAGGTAGCACACATTTTATCCCGATTAGGTTCCAAGCTAACACTTATCATATCAACTCCACCCGATGTAGCAAAGAAGAAACTAAAGGCTGATCAAGATGGAGTATCATCAAGTAAACTAGTAGTATGATCTACATGTAATTTGTAACATATCTGTTATCGCTAGAACTAATAGTGATAATGTAACGTTAAGTATGTAACAATATATAAAATATCTCCTTTTGGCAAAAAACAAAAAGAACTTCATAAACTACAAGAGAGAGAAAAGGCTTCTTTTAAGTTCTAAAAGAGTAAGTTGCATATATTAGCACAAACGCCATGATTAAGCGCTTAATTAGATACTAATACACAAGTAATAATTCTTTAGGTTTGATAGTTGAACAATTATATCCATACTACCAATTGATTAACACAATAAATAGACTCGATCAAAAATATTTATTATCGCTATCTAATCTACATATATTATACAAGTATTAAAACTAGCAAGAGAAGCAAAAAGGGATGTTTTTTTTTTGTGTGTGTGTTTTCATAATATGTGACATAAAATTGAAATCAACAACACTCCTTGCTCAAAACTAGTACACTTGCATCTTAAGACGAAAATACAAACAAAAGAAACTTAAACTAAAATTGCATAGACCTTAAACTATATCACAAGAACATAGATAGGAAATTAAACTTTTCTTCAATTTTCACTCCATTTAATCAATCGAAAGACGATTTGGATGTGAAATTGAAATTAGAACAACTAGTATTACGTGACAGCAACGAAGAGCTTACTCCCAATCTCGACCTGACCAAATCAAACTCAACAAAATTATCTTCCAATTGATGCACCCCTATCACAATTGGAGCCTTTGGATTTTGTCCTCCATCAACAAACGCCAAGCATGACACACCTGGTCGTGCTTCAACTACTGAATTTGTTCCAACAATAGTCCATGTAACATTTTTGTTCTGCATCACAAAATCAATGTTCGGAACATTTGTGATCGAAGAGACGTTGGAATTGAAACATAATCCGAATGGTGATATAGGATTCACTTGAGATATCCCAGAGGATTGGTTAGCGAAAAACTGAGTGAAAGTTGTGAAAATGTTGTGTTCAAGAGCTGTGTAAGGTGCTGTAGTACTAATCATCGCGCCACCAAAGTTTCTAGTCCTTGTTGAGATTAAAGATGAACGGTTCAATGGGACAGGCTTGTTGTTTACGCGAATTGACCTGACTGGGATGAAATATTCACCTTGTGAACCGATGATTATTGGGGTGTAGGTTAAGTTACCTGTCTGTGTACCATTCAATCCACTAGTCCCGAAAAAGATTGCACCATTTTTTTGTGAGGAAGAGGGCAAGCACAAGGAGAATTGACGATGGAATCCAAAATGAGAGGCAAATTGAATTGGGAGAGAGACTGAACCGTGAGCTAATCCAGCTACTCCTTGGACATTATTAGGAAAAGGATCTTGTGACAAAGATGAAGGTGAACAAGCAAAAAGGAAGTGGCGAATAGTAACTAAAGGACCATAGTTTGAACCAGATTGAGTAATGGATTGAATGGAGAGAGAATCCTGAGCAACTTCACTGGTTGCAGTTTGGCTAGTTAAAGGATTTGTTGTTGTAACAGCACAAGTGTTGTTATGGCAACCAGGCCTAGGAGTAGTGGAAAAGCATTTGTTGCACGAATGAGAACCAAAGCGAGAACATTGAGTTGACTGACAAAAGGGGGCTAAATAGGTTGATGAGAGGTAATTTTTTTCGCAATTTAACCATAAGAAGTTGCCATTCAAATCAATCAGCAATGGGATGGATTGCTGGGGAGTTCCTTTTGTGATGTTGGTTATGTGAAGACCAGTGGCAGAATCCTTAAAGACTTGCAAAGCAAGGCCGTCAGGTTTGAAGGGAGCTCTAGTAACTTGTGATTGTGATAGGTATACAAGATTTGAGACTGCTAAGAATGTAAGAAGAAAGTTGAGGATTGATGATGCCATATTAAGAGAGACTGATGAGAGAACAGACAGTTGTTATTACTTTGTATGGTGATGAACAAACACATTTTATAGTATGGGAAAGGTCTTAGTTTATCTTCAGTTATGGATAGAGACAATAGTTGAGCTATTTTGTCGTTTTTAATGGATGTCAGGCTTGCTTTTGTCTCTCGTTAAATCAATGACGCTAAACAGGGGATCCTGTAAACAAGCTCAGTTTAGCATGTTACAAGTCGATTCCTGAGTATTCGAGGTTTTAAGACATGGTATTTTGATGATAAACTTCACTCTCTTAGTTGCTTTACAAGTGTTTCCGCAAAACCCGTATAGTGTTGTCATTGTTATTTTGTTTCATCCTCCTCAATGACCTCCAACTGATTCATCATAACCTTATCACATCTTCCTTTACTTAACAGTAACAAGTCTCCTTTTCACTTATTACACTCTCAACTGATAAAAATGGCCTGCAGCTGGGAACTTCACTATTAGCTACGTTCCACAAGGTTTTTTTCAGTTCCAACTTCAATCACTTCGTTCCAATATTGATTGTTCATCTCCTACCCGGAAAAGAAAGGGAATAATGGTGGTTTTAGTCACACAAAACAATCATAATATCAAAGGTCTAAAGTATCAATATTATAATTTGAGGCCGATAAACAGCAATCCTGACATTATCCGGGACAAAATTATCCTATTCATCTCATTTAAGCACATTCTCCCCTACTTATCAGTGGAGGCTAAAGTTACAGGTAAATTGCACCGAGGAAAAAATTCATCATCTGTATGTCTCTGGCAAGCGGTAACCAGTCATCACAAGTTTGTTCGCAGACATTTTCCCTGTCTTTGGCATAACGTGCCAATGCAATGTTAGGTTAAAAGCTTTACCACGGAGGTTGCTTCCCTACAAACAAGGAATTAGGTACTTGTGAAAATCATGAGATAAAGAAGAAAGCAGAATAAGGCAAAATGCTTCAGAAACTAACCTGATCAACAAACCGATACTTGTTTGTGGTGTGAATCAAAAATTTTGCATGTTCCTTGGTGGGAATAATACCATCCCACAAAGATATCTGTTAGTAAAACAATCAGGTCAGTAGAAGGAATCATACCAAACTCTCATCGGGTAGGAAAACAAAATACAAAACAAATTCTCAAGCAGGTCCTAAAAATTAATGAGTTGACGTATCCTTGGAGCTTCTAAAGCCTGCTCCTCAAATTTGGAGAAGACAGCCCCACGAGGCTTCACTAAGCATACATTCATACTTACAGGAAAATCCTATCACTGACAACAAAGTACAGGACCATTGATTTACAAGGAGAAGCAAAGGGCAGATATGTTGATACATACTGTGCTAAGCCTTACTTTCAGTTGCAATACATTTATCAGACAAAGACACGAGCCTCAAATAAGATCTAACTAACAAATGAAATACAAGGAAGATATTAATTATATGCAGTTCTCAACCAATAGAAGATAGACCTGATTCAAAGCGTTCTTTGGAGTTTCATACTCAGCTGCCAAAAATACGAACACCTGCAAAATTTTAAACATTATTAGAATTGCACAGTTGCTAGAAGTAACTATAAAGGTAATCCAACCAACAGAGATCTGACCGATCAATGCCAACATATCTCTTAAAGTGTTCGAAGTTAAAACTAAAAAACTTTGAATTCAGAAATCTAGGAAACTTATTGCACGTAGTCTTGTTCTTTTTGAAATATTCCAGTCTCTTGTTACACATGTTAGGTAGCAGAATTTCAATATATGGTATACTGAAGCTGTAAAGACACTCTAAATCCCGTCCTCCAAATTCTCAAGGAAAATAAAAAGGGAGGAAACAAAATAGAACCAGCTTTCTCACAAGCACTGCAACAGGAATAATTTAAGTTCATTTTAATTTTTACTAAAAAGAAAAGGTGAAAGAGGAAATACTGCACCAAGTCATTGGACTAACTGGGAAAACGTCAACAAATTGTACAAGAAGGCATAGATTTAACTATCTAACACTGGTTTATATAGTCACTAATAGCCTCGTAAATTTGTGTAATGCATTCTATTTTCCAATTTCCACATCCTGTAATCCAGAGTCTTAACCGTGGCATCAACATCTAATATGACCACCTCTCCCCTTCACTCTAGTGAACTCCAGTGTTTCAGAACGGGGATGAAAAGTATACATATATTATGTCTTAGAGATTAGCTTAATTGAGCATAAGATGTATACAGATTGATACATCCACACTTTCATACTTTACATAGAAGAAAATCAGACTCAAGTAATAGGGTTAAAAGAGTGAAATCCAAACTATGGTGCAAATAAAATAGACACTAAACCTGCTTCGTATTCCACGTGAACAATGACTGTAAATCTGCCGATATGTTCAAGGTCAAACTGACCTGCATAAAAGGAAAAGTATACATGATATAGACAAACTTCTTTCATTAAGTTCATATAACCACTCAACCAACAATGGTAACAAGAATGCTTAACAAAAGAGCAGCTACCAAGTTCATGTAGATCAACAAGATAAAGAAAATAAACTGACACCTTAGGCAATATAATGTGCTAGCATATTTTTTTATGATATTTCAATGATTAAGAGATCTAAAAAAACATACGATTATTTTTTTATGCACATATATCACATAGATTCATGAAAATACTAATAGAAGATTGTTTTTCCTCCAGAGTTTTACTCAAAAGTTGTCTGCGGTCCTTTCGCTCTAAACCGAACCGAAAAAAGTGGTTCAACATATTAGATGTTGGTTTAACGTATTTAAAACCCGATAGTACATAAAACCAAACCGACCCGACCAATGCACACCTCTAGTAAGCTTAGTTAGCCCTCTATTATTGAAGTTAATATTGGAAACTTACTGGCAACTCTAACATTTAAAATAGACTAAAAACCAATGGATACTCTAAGAAATTGGGAATTAGTTAATAGTATTACATATGATAGCTTTATCTTTACAATCTGGAACTGCAGATTTAGTTGAATGCCTCAAGGCACTCAAACAATGCAAAAGAAGAAGAGGATCTCGAAGGAGTTAGCCGACTTAGTTCCTTTTTCTGTACAGTAGGACTGTTTTATTTGGTCGTCTTTATCTAATGAATTATGTCCAATTTACTTGTGATTTCATCGAGGAATTCGTTGATTCTCTTCTGTTTGATCCCTGTGAGTTTGAGTGGTGAAGAAAGTCATAACTCATAACTTTTACTAGTATTTTCAAGAACAATGTGATATCATGGGGGTTTAGAGAAAATTAGTTCAAACCTTAACTAACAATTCATGATTATTTAGGTTGATACTCATGCCTAACTAGGAGGATCTCCTAGATTGAAATTGAAAATTTTTTTAGAGAGAAGGTATTATAATGGAGAGTATACAATTGATAGTACAAAGAATGTCCGTACATATATGCATCAAACTTGGTTATTGAAATTGAACAATGTTATAGTTATATTACCTCAAAACAGAAAATCTCAAGATTTTTCCATTCTCAAATGAGAAAGCAAACAAATTTAACCAAGAATGTACATAGATCACATAGATTCCTGATTCCTCAAAGAATCCAGCAATACCCATATTCAAGAATTTGAAATAGAAATTATTAGAAAAAAAAAAAGAAGAAAGGTCAACCATCATAGTTCAACCAGTTTTTGAACCCAATTTACAATCTCACATACCGAATTCAACAAAAATTAATCCGAAACTAAAAACCCAGAAAAACCCTTTATCAAAATCGACAGATACAAATCTTTCGTCAAAGAAAATACCTCATCGTCCCCATCAGGTTTCTTCTGGAACCAATTGATATTCAACACCTGCAGAAAATCAAGCGTTCAAACACGTGGGTCATTTACAAAATTAACAGATCTAATTACAATCGACAAAGTTAACAAAAGGAAAACATAGATTCAAGTAGGGTTTTTAAGGAGGTAGGTGTACTTGAACTTCAGTTGTTGGAATCGGAGTATTGAAATTGTCGGAGAAAGAAGCTATTCCACACATAAACGCAAGGATGGTGACTGCCAATGTTAACAAAGCATTAGCTCTATACCCAAATGAATGCATCTTTGCTCCCGATTTTCTTCAATTTTTGGTCTTCTCAGAATATGGAAAATGGGGCTTTTAACGCTTAAGAGTTCAGACTTTAGTCAAATCTTGTTTTTACCCTTCTCTCTTTTTTATTTTTGGTCTGAAATTTAATGGTTTGTGTTGAGTTGTCAATTTATTATTTGATAGAACATGTCAATACTCATCATCTTATATTGGAGTATCTTTATTTTATTGAGAGAAATGACAAATAATGGTATATAAATATCTTTCGTTATATTTTTAGATATCAATATTTTTATCATTTAAAATTAAGTATATATTTATTTTTTGATTTGATATTTAAGAAATGTTTAGTTGGTGAATAAGATTGTAATATGTATATATAATTTATGCTCTAATTTCTAATGATAAAGGCAACTATATCACAACAATTGGGGAAAGGTGGAGATGAACAAATTAATGCAACAACAAATATACCATTCAATAGTTAACTTTAAATATTAATTTTTAAGAAAAACATGTTCTTGATAAAGATAAATATAGTGTTTTAATTAATACAACAAGTATTCCACGACATATCATTTCTTATTATAATTTTAAATTTCTAAGTATTCTATACTTTATTCTTATTTTATTTTTTCAGTCAATACCATAAATCGATTTAAAAATACTAAATTAAATCAAACTAAAGTAAAAAAAATCAAACTAAAGTAAATTAATTTGATTTACAATGCACATTTTTTTTAAAAGCAAATCAAAATTTGATAAAATCAAACCGCTTGAACTAAAGGCTATTTACCGTATAAGAAAAAACAATTCTTATATAATATTATTTACCAATTATATTGCATAACCAAGTAAAGGACGCGTGGCAGTGATTGGGATGACTGATTTCTGAAAAACCTCGTTGCTTTCTTTTGTGGCACTAGCAAATAGTTCAACTTACTCTCTGGAGAAGGAGAATTCATTGTGGTATGCTTTCTACACTTCACTTATTGATTTCTCACTTTGGAAAAAAACATAGAGTTGTATTTTACATTTTGTATTTCCTAATTTTACACTTCACTTGATGTCTTCTTTTTGTCAATTTTTCTCTGATTCTGGATTTGTACTATCATGTTTTTAGTGTTCTTGCATGTAAGAATCATCAATGAGTTGTTGCATGTGGATGTGACTTGCCAATGTGTTGATCTAGTGTAGAAATTGCTCTTAATTTGTGTTTGTACCTGCTTAAATCCAGTCTAGTGAAGCAATTTTAAGTTATCTATGTCAAAACAGATAGGCAGCCTAAACTATATTTTTGGAAAATGCTCTGTTGCATTTACTTAAAAGGCTCCCCTTTTTATGTACAAAAATATCCTCATGGATGACTTACAGAATCTCAATTACTAATCCTTTTGTGTGTCTTTGTCGTTCTAACCATCAAAATCATTCTTGATTTCAACCTTCCGTTTGCGAAATCCATATACGGTAATAGATGGTAAAAACTCCATATAATTGATCTTTTGAACTCGCTTCAAGCTATAATCACATATCATCAATCTTAGTGTTTACTTCTTCTTCTTTTTTCACTACTTACTGTCTTCATTGTATATGTTTCAACCGTGTTTTTTACTCAAGTCTAGAGTCAATATTTTTATCTGTTTCATTTCATCTGAAACAGATTAATCACAGAGTTCTTACTCTTTCCATCGAGCATGGACAACAACTTCACTGGATTGGTTCCAACGGATGATCAGTTTTTCCTCCTTTACTTCATCATTGGAACCTTCTTTGGACCAGATATCCCCGTAGAATATCCCAAAAGGTCAGTTTTGCAAAGAAAGGGTCTAGGCTTACCTCCATACAGTTCCAATCAATTAGCTGGTTCATGCCTAAGAACCATAGAAGTAGAAAGGGTTTACTATCATGCATTGAGAAAGGCAGATCGGTCTGTTGTCCTGGCACAACCGTGGCTGCACCAGTACTTTCATGGGAAGCTTCCTACTCTTTACCGTAAACAACCAGCAGCTTATCCTCGGTTCTGTGATCTGTTTCCTCCCAACCTGCATCCCCATTTATGCTGTCATGTGTATAATGTTATTGCAAACATTGTGTTCATCCATGACCCTGATACCAGTTATATCGAACCAGATAGTGTTAAGAGGTTCAAGAAGCTCACTGGTCTAGAACATCTGGTCATGGACAAAGATTGCACAAAATCACAAGCCGATGTTGATTACGAAGCTCTAACTAATATTCGAAACAAGGAGATATCCAATCCTGGTGATATCCTCCAATATGCATCATTAGCTGCTAGTAGCCTACCATATAAGGAGATACCTTCAAGTACTGAGCCATTTAAGGATTTACGACTTGACAATGAACAATTTGACTATATGTCTTTTACTAGTCTTTTGAAGGATGCTTCTGATGAACCATTTAATGGTGTGCCACCTGATAGCAATGGACAATCTGACACTAGACCTTTTAGTGGTCTCTTGAATGATGGCTCATGTAGTAATATGCCACCTCATCGCAATCGACAATTTGACACTACACTTTGTAGAAGTCTCTTGAGGAATGATGCTGTCAGCCAGTTTACTGATGCGCCACCAGATAGCTCTAAAAAATCTGATGATACTCCTTTTAGTAGCCTCTTTAAGGATGTCAGTCCACTGGCGGAAGAGTCTATGGGTCCATCATCAAAGCACACCAACTCTGACGACTCAGAGCTTAGCATTGTCTTCCTTCCTTCTTGCCCTTCTATGGAGGAGCTAAGTAACATTGTTGGTGCTACTAAAAGTGGATTTGCAGTGGCTGGGAGTGCAGCGAAGGGTAAGATAGGACCAGTTCTCGGGCTCTTGGATGTAGGAGAAAGTGAGGATGCTTACTTGTTCCGTGTATCACTCCCTGGAGTACAGAGAGATGAAAGTAAGTTACAATCATGATCTAAAATATTTTTCACATCTGAATTTGCAATTAGTCCCAGTTGACATATTTGATCTGCCAAATCCTTTTACAATATGGCGCACTGCATTCTTCTGATGATTTTGGATTCGACCAGGACTAATTTGTTCAAAATCTATGGTTAACTCAGGAGAATTTACTTGTGAAGTGGAGATTGATGGTAAAGTATTGATTAAGGGAATGACAACTGGTGATAGGACAGTCCACAAGTACTCTCAAGTATTCGAGATGCAAACTCAGAACCTATGTCCAACAGGAAATTTCACCATCTCTTTCAAGCTGCCAGGCCCAGTTGACCCTCAAGCATTTTCTGGTATTTTTGGCACTGATGGAATTCTCGAGGGAATCGTATTGAAAGCAGAAACATATTCTCAATAGAATAGGGTAAATTAGTGTCTTGTTAATTAGGAGGTAGTACCTCTACAAATTGCAACCTAGCTTATGTCTATGATAATAGTAATTTGGTGTGAATGCAACCAACTTACCTGTTCAATTACAAGTAAGGTAAGGTGTAAAAAGCTTAAACAGGCTGACCCACATTTAAAGATCAATCTGGGTGTAAAATCTACATTACTTAATTATGACAATTGATCACGTAACACAAAATCAACAATAATAACCTTTATCCAGAGAGCTAAGCAGTACTCTATTTTTAAAAAAAATGATAGTATGATTCGAGTAGTTCTGCATAAATACGAAGTTAAGCATTTTTCTCTATAATTCTGTTGAATTTCACAAGAAAAAATGTACTGGCTTACATGAAGCTTCTAGTTGACCAGAAATTTACTATACAACCAGTGGATTATGCTTTCCAGCTCACTTTACTCACTCCACAATGAACTGAAAAAAAAAATGAATTATTATGTTCTTGAATGGAAGCCAATAAGATCTTTAACTGATAAGTGAATGAAGGCTATCAACATAACCATTTCCTAGATATTGTGGCAAAGGCGCACTTGCCACCTACTTCATCTTCAAGAGTTTAGCAGCCCCCGCATGGTTCCAGACCAGTGATGGATGAATCAATTGTCTCTCCAAAACTCAGGCAGAGAACGTGGCAATGATCAGGCTTATTATCATGAATACAACATAGAGTCCTACTAGGCAAAATCCCCAGAATCTTGGCACCCGGAACCTATTCCAAGTAACTAAAAGCAAAGATCCCATCAAGCTCAATAGCAAGAAAACAAAAGCAACCACGATACTCACGTGGAGATGAAGCTCATAAGCTTCTGGATATACATTTGCTGTCTGCATAACCAAAGCAGTTCCAAGCCCAAAAAGCATGTTAAACATTGGCCCAGCAAAACATCCAGCCATGGCCATGGCCGGTTGGCCAGCCTTTGCTACAGCCACGTCTGCAACAAGATCACCTACTGAGTTTCCCCATGCAAGCACCGTTAAACCAAGAAAGGCAGCAGGCAGTTTCAGGAGCTCTCCAAGAACGGCAAGACAGTTGAGAAGTTCCCCAGCAACTGTGGAGATCCAAAATACACTCATAACAAATGCTATAACAACTGCAGGCATTTGCTCAGTTTTAGGGGCCTCCTTTTCAACAATGAAATGTACAACAGCCAAAGAACACGTAGCACAAAGTACAATGAACCAAAGAGGCAAATGGGTGTCTGAGAGAAGGAAAGAGATTGGATGATTTAATGGCACAAAAGATTTGCAGGAAAACAGAAGGAGGAGGGGGCAGAGAGCAATGTTGGAAGATAAACAGAATCTATTCCATTCAGAAGGTGCAGTCTGTGGTATGGTGAGCCTAAGGAGCATCGAGACAGGAAGTTTCCAGATTAGAGAGACCTGTCAAAAAAGAAATATTAAAATGTCAAAATGAAAATATTAAAATAGCTACACATTAAACTGAGATGCTGTGAACACCATCAAAATCCATAAAATAGAAGCATGGATTTAGTGTGCGCCTGATGGATTCTTCACGAGTGATCTAGTCAACAACATGGATTGCAGAAAGAAGCAACTAGCTTCCATAAAACACACTGAGAACATATTCCCACATAAAACACACTCACTTATCAAAAGATACTTGGTATGTTTAGATGTTACATTTATTATTGATTTTTTTAGAGTTTAGAGCCATGAGAAATGCTATGGTCATCATAATTCTTATGGCTTGATATAAAAATAACTTCCAGAAGGAGTGCAATCCAACTTCTTAGGCATGCTCTTC